TTCCTGCAACTAGAATAGGAAATGGCTCAAACAAGGTCCTACTTAGGAACCTCAGGTAAGGTTATGGAGGTTGATTGGCTGGCCTGAAGATGGCCAGTGAGTTTTGAAAATAGAGTCGCATAATAGATCTACTAGGTCGAGTGCAGAATGCCTTATGGCTCACTTCTTTATCCTTATCTCTGCCCACTAATATTCTGTAATTTTAAATTTCCCAAAATTCAAGGTAAACTGTAAAAAATGAAAAAAAAATTGAAAAAATCTGATTCTCTTAACATACGACTAATGATTAACAAATCGTAATGTATGATTTTAGTTATAATAGGCAGTAAAATTATAAAACCAGATAAACAAAATACATAATCTTTTTTATGTAAGGTTTTGGTTGAAAATATTAGTGCCACGAGCGGGATTCGAACCCAAGACCTTCGGCTAAATATTCCGCTGCTCTACCACTTGAGCTATCGTGACTTCTTATAATAAAAAGTTAGTGCAACGAGCGGGATCTCAAGTGGTAGAGCAGCGGCGTATTTAGCCGAAGTTCGTGCGTTTGAATCCCGCTCGAGGCACTAACTTTTTCATTTCGACCAAAACCTTACATTTAAAAAAAAAATTAATTAATTGAAAGAAGTAATTTGGTCAATAGACCACTAAACATAACGAAAATACGTAATATTTTCTTTTTCTGACATGATGATGATAAAAATGCAAATTATTATGCAAATTATGTACAATAATGTTGGACTCGAAGGGGCTTTGTAGGCGATCCGACCCTTATGTTCATACGACCCGAAAATAGCAGATGAGAAGAAAAAAAAATGCCGTTAAACTATACGAAATTCTGAAAACAATGGTGCCTGGTATGAGAATGTGAATCCTGGTAAATATTCATGAAATAGAACGCCGTTAGGGCTATCGGTTTATAACGGAGCCCGAGGGAGATGCATAGTCGGCCAGTTAACTACTTACCCACTAATTAAAAAAAAAAACACAAGACCACATGAATTCAGGCTTTTTATTTATTGTAGTCTTTCTGGCTATCCTGAAAAGCAGAACAGTACTAATTACAAAGAAGAAGACAGGCTAAGATTTAGCGTGTCTTTTTCTATAAATTATGCTACAGTTTTATCATGTTATCTTTAGGTTTTCTACAGGGAAGTAATTTCTCCAGTAATTTTCTTTATCAAGCAGTTAAGAACAGTTTTCCACGAGTAAATATACGTAGCACGAGAAAACATCAAGGAAAACAATTTTGATAGTTGGTTTTTGTTTTATTTCCAGCTATATCCTTTAAAATCAACCCAACGAAAACCTACCCGTGAAAAAAGGGTCAAGTTTCAGCCCTCTCTCTCTCTCTCTCTCTCTCAAAAAAAAAAAAATCTATAAGCCTATCGATGCCTTACCATTTTGATGATGTGTCTAACCCTTAGTTTTAAAAAAATCGCATTTTTCTGGCGTTTACCTGTTTTACAATATAATGCCTACATTTGGACCAAATTTCTCGTTTCTACCTGTACTGCAAGTTATTATAAATTTGATGATCAGACTATACTACTCCCCTTCTTAAGCGAAGTTAATTTTGAAAAGATTACAATTTTCAGATTTTTTTCTTTACTTCCTATACAAAAACTAAATTTTTACAGAATTTCACGTTTCTACCTATTCGAAAAGTAGCTTATAATATTGATGATCTGTAAGTCGGTCAGTAACAAAAAAAAATTTGAAATTCTCCCCATTCTAAAATGCTTAATATTGAGTGCTCAATTTTTTACAATGGCCTACCGACCTAAGTTTAATTTATTTTTCAAATTTCACAAACCCATCTTATGAGGAGGCAGAGATATCAGGGTAAGAAAACCGGGTTCGAGTAAAGTCACACGTGACAGCTTGCAGAAATTTGGACAGCGCATAACCGGGTGCTCAGATTATCATGTTAAAATACATCAGGACTACATACAGTTTAATTTAGTCCACAAGATCTCGTAAAATTAATATATAACCTAATTCCCATGTCATGAGAATGTCTTAAAAATAGGGTAGTGGTGAAACATATCAAACCTAAAAATACAGCGAGGCTAGACGGATCGAGATCGAATATAATTTAGATTTTGGCACAATTTACAGTGCAAAATATTGAAAAATAATCATTTATATAGGTATCAGGAAAAAAGTAAGTTGTCTAGCCACTAACTTTATCAAGCAGTCAAAAAGACTTTTTCAACACTAAATACATATAGTGTGAGGTGACTAAATAAAATTTGATGCATGGTTTTATGTTTTATTTCTAGCTTTATCCTTTTAAATCAATTATCTAGTTAAGATACTTCAAGGAAATGTGCAGTTTAATTGTCTCCGATTTTACGACTCCATTTGAAAATGTGTTACTGATGAAAATGAACATACAGCTTAAATCTCACACAACACATACACACACACACACACACACCAATCAAAATATGATTAAATAATTGATAAAGTAACCCTTCTTTGTTTATAGAAAATCTAAAAAATAGGACAGTGGTGAAATACATCTGGTAATATAGTCTAGATTTTGACACAACCTACAATGCAAACTATTGAAAAGTAATTATTTATATAGGAAGCAATAAAAAAAAGTAATTTGTCTAGCCACTAACAAGCAGTCAAGAAGAGTTTTCTAAGACTAAATACATTTAGCGTGATATGACTTCCAACAAAAACATTGATGCATATATGTATTATGAAGGTTGGGAGGGGTTAAATGCCTGGGTAGACTCGTACCCCATCCCTCAAACGTCCGGGACTTGGCCGGCTCATGTGTCCTGCATAAATCTCTTGGACTTGTTAACAAACCCAACATTTTGGACCATTTTATTTCGAGGAGTGATTTGGTGATGTTCGCTCCTTCAAACGTTTCAAATCTAGGCCTAGCGTACATATCACACTCAGCGAGGTAGTGCCTTGCTGTTTCTTCTTTTATTTCGCAAAAACGGCAAAAGGGATCTGGTAGAATACCCATTACGGAGAGGTCTTCTCAGTGGGCATCATTGATGCATGGTTTTATGTTTTATTTCTATTTCTATTCTTTTAAAATTAATTATCTAGTTAAAATACTGTTTGTACAATTAAGTGACAATATACACTTTAATTGTCTCCGATGTTACGACTCCATTTGAAAATGCGTTACTGATGAAATTTAACTATGTTTATAGAATGTTTTAAAAGTAGGGCAGCGGTAAAATATATCTGGCAATATAAATTAGATTTTGTCACAATTTACACAGCAAAATACATTTTGTCTTCATTTATTTTTATCTACTCTACTGTGTATGTATTATATACAATTAGCAGATTGGATTTCGATTTATGATTGTGGCATTACGGGCGTTATAGAGATAGCTATAGCTATATATAAAGCAGAGAGCTCGCAGCTTCTCTGGATTAATAAAATTAATCATTTAATAGGTCTCTTATCCATAATTGTCATTTAGTGTCAGTCGTTTACGTGGTATTATGTGGAATGGAGTAATTATATTTTGTGTTAGTGTGATTTTGTAATTTACTATTAAAACGTCTGTAATATGTTTTGATTGATGAAAAAACTGTTGGCATGTAAAGATCTCTGTGAAGTGTGTTATTGTTTACGTAAAAAGGAGCCGAAACAATAAGGCTTAAAATTTTGGATTGAAAATTTTGTAATCTTTGAATATGGAAATATTTGGACGATCCATACTCTTGGCACCCGTACGTCCAAAAAATAGCTTTGAGGAAGAATGTCGAAAGTTTTGATTTTAATTATAATTTTGAGTGTCGGTTGAGTAGGTAATAATTTTAAACCGTTTGTTGTATGTCTGTTTTTTTAATCGTGTGTGTGAATTCCAAGTTAGTCTTCGATCAAATGTAAGTCCCGAGTAGTTAACTTTGTCTGAAGAACATGTTCACTGGACAAGTATATGCTAGGCCAAGTCTCACGCCGGAGTGTAAAAGTGTGACTTTCAGGGGTTAAACTTTTTTTTTTCAAAGATTGCTCCATTTTTCAATAGTTGATATGTGGTTTTGCAACATAAGCTTGTGTAGAAGAGGGATGACTTTTTAATACGGCGGTTTCATCTGCGTATGTGGCGATAAGTGCAACATCTTTTGTAGGCAAGTCAGAAGTAAAAATTGTGCACAACAGCGCAGCGAGTATTGACCCTTGGCACACTTGCAAGTACTTCTTCAATCTCAGAAATCGCTGATCCCAGATTTACTGCAAAAAATCTGTCCTTAAGGTATGATTAGGCCTGGGGTAAAAATAATTTTAATTTGTATAATAATATCTCATATCATACTTTGTCGAGGGCTCGAGAAACATCTAGAAACAATCTAGTCGCGCACAGTTTCTGCTCGAGATATGACGTAATGAAATGTTACTCTGTGAAGATAATGAGGAGTGGGTTCGAAAGCCAAATTGACGGTCTGGTAAAACGTTGTTTGAAGTAGCAATTGTTTTGTTGATGATGACGAGCTTACATTTTCATATGGCTTTGTTATCATTTTATGTAAGAAAGCTTCCATTGTATGGGGAAGTTTCTGGTTCTCAAAATTTCGTTAAATAAAGGAGTCAGAAAGACGGCAGCTTTTTTGGAAACTGGAAGAACTTCAGTGGTATCAAATCACGACCAGGTGTTTTTATTAGAAAGCTGTCGTCATTCTTGTGGCACTTGTTTTGGAGTTATTGGTTTAGGTGGCAGATCTAGAGGTATAGGTGTCATAAGTGAATCTGATATAAATTTATGGTGTTCAATATCGATTAAGTTATGAGGTTTGAATACCTCGGAGAGATGTTTCTCAAATGTTTTGGACTTTTCTTTATCGGAAACGATCCGAGTTCCACCATCATTCCTTAAAACGAGCTGAAACACTGCAATGAAGCAGGATACGTTTAGTACTCCGCCATATTGATTTTTTTATTTATCTAGATAGTGAAGAAATATAAATAAAAACATCTACTTCCGACAATTGACAAATGTTACAAAAAACCATTTACGTTGTCATATTTGTATTTGGGGATTTTTTAAACAAGAATTATTGTGATTCTACATGCGCATCGACGAGTTCCTCTTCTTCCAGAAGGTTCGATATATGAGCTCCGAGATAACCGCCCATGAGGAGGCCGGGCACGACGACAAGGAGTATTTTAAATATACCGAATCGGACGACTTGAGGCATCGGCCTGACGTGTTCGGGCTGTTCCAAATTAGACCTATTACTCCGGGATCTCATATTGTCAGAACTTTAAATTACTTCACTTTTCAACTTGAAATATATCGATTCGGAAACATACTGAAAATAAACCGAAGCAGCTGATTATTGATTTTTTTGAAATGAAATCCGGCGAGATTTCGAGCGGTTCAGTAAACCGGACGAAACATAGATGAGATTATGAATCAATGCAAATCGTGAACAATTAATTTCTTGTGAGTTAAAACAACCACCATTTTTATATTGGACACGCCAGATATTTCTTAAACATCGTGAATTTCATAACTACTGCAAATATATGGGATTTGTATGTAAAGTACATCCTCGGGGTCTGTCTAAATTCCTGTTTATGGTCAAATTATCGAAGTTTATAGTTACTATCTGGTTAAAAATTTAAAAAAAAATTGTCAAGCAAACCTCTTCAACCAGTCTGGATTAGTACTGCAGTATTACAGTTCAGACCCTTAAAGGTGTCAAACCACAGTTCCATACTTACGGAAACTTATTGATTGCCTATACAAAGTTGGAAATTCACTGAAAAAGGACATTCATTTTCAGATTTTATAAATGAAGATAGGAATTTTACATAAATAATATAAATGTATCTATAACATGATACATATTCGAGTACAATATATCTTTTAAAGAAATTCTGACCTTTTATTTATCTTTTCTGTTGATTAAGTCAAGTACGTTTTGAATATTTGTGCTTAGTGAATTGAATTAAAATAAAGAATTTAAGAATGCATATCTTAAAAAAATGAAAACCATCTATGGACTCTACGGAGAGAAAGTCCCTAAAAGTGTTGGACAAGAAACAGAGGAAAAGAAGAAGACAAAAGATACTGATGGCAAGAGAAATACAAAAATACCAGCACAAACAGGTCTGTACCTACAGATAAAACGACGTACAGACAAAGAGACAAAGAATGAGAACGATAGTTGGATGAATTAATTGATTAAACAGAGAGGGAGGAGAGAAGAAAAAAATTACCGCCACACACAAACATACATACAGAGAGAGAAAGATAGGCAGATAGATAGGCAGAGAGAATGAGAGAGAGAGAAAGAGAGATAGAGAGATAGATAGATAGATAGAGAGAGAGAGAGAGAGAGAGAGAGAGAGAGAGAGAGAGAGAATGAGTGTGAGTGTAAATATAGTAATATTATCAAACAGAAAACAGTTGAATAGTATGTAAAAAGTACTGCAAACCTGATATGAAGAGAGAAAGAGAAAAAGAGAGTTAGACAAATAGAGGAAAAGTTAGAGAAGGTGCGGAAGAGAAAAAGAAAGATTAACCATAAGAGAACGAAAGACAAAGAGAGTAAAGACGGTGAGAGGGAGAAAGAAAAAGACTTAGATAGATACAGAGAGGGAGAGAGCAAAAGTGATTGAGAGAGGTAACGAGAAAGAGAACGAAAGGAAGAAGAGAGAGAGAGAGGGAAGAATGATAGTTAGAAAATATAGATGTAGGTGAATAGAGAGTGTGAGAGGGTGGGAAGGAGAGAAGAAATGATAATGAGGGAGAAAGGGAAAGAGTTGGTAAATGAATTAAAAAAATGGTTGCACTAGAGCAGGAATGTGATAGTCCTTGGTATAATAATTCTATACTTGAATAGAATATCTAAAATGTAAACACTCAGATTAAAATAATTGCGTTTCTGTCTAATTTTGCGTTGAAAACGTTTGTTATTCCTACAATATTTTTTTTTCTTGCAAAATATATTCCCTTATTTTTTAACTTGACCCACCCTACATAAGGCATTGCTTTATGTTTGATAATGTGTAGAATTTTATAGGATGAAGAATGGTGACAACAGTTATATGAAATGTGGAACTAGCGTCAAAGAGGAAGGTGGTGTCAAACTGATTCCCCAGTCGGCTATGGTAAAATAACAAATGGCAAATTGCTTTTTCGTGGAAAACCCAACATCCAAAGCAGTGGGAAAATTGATATCAGAGTGTGGACAAAAGGAAATTGCAGCAAGGCGCTCACCCGTCGGGGTATAGCCACGGAACGTCGGCGGTTATTGAAAAACCGACGCCGGCCACCGAGGAAAATTCATAACGGCAATCGTTTTCCACGAGGCGTGGAGAATCGTTGAAAAATCTAAGGAAAAACTGACGAGGATCGTCCGAGGTTTGGCGGTTTACTGGAAGAAGTTCTCCCTTGTTCAAAGAGAGGCATGATGAATGAACTTTCCTGTTGACTCTTTGAATTGTCGCCGAACTGGAAGAAAACCGTTCAAATCAATGTTCATTTATTTGTACAATGAAAATAAGGCAGACAAACCATGAGCAAACAATTTAAAACTGAAAGTACCAGTGCATGTATTACTATGAAACTTAATTTGGCCAATATATTGATATTTTTTAATAAACATAAACAACATAACAGTTTACGTTTTGCTTGGACAATATTCAAATCGTATTTCATCAGTATGCAACTCGCACATACACATATATTCCACTTTTCTTTTTCTCATTGAAAAGGACATGATTTATTTCTCCTGAAGACCACACATTTTTTAGCTTCCACAATCTTTACATAAGACATTAATTTTAATCCGGCATGTCTTGAGTTTCATATTTTATATAAGTAATTTAGAAAAGAAACAAAGCAGCTAGAGAAAAAGATCATAAAAATACTGCTTTTGGTTATACCTGTTAGCCATCGTGCTGTGGTTAAGGAGCTTATAATATCTTCAAATCTAGAAATCACGTAATCTTTACAAAAATGTTCCAGCTTCTAGGAGTTTTAAAAAAGTCTCAATAAAAATTGTGCCATTGTCGGTTCTGCCCGTTTGCAATTATGTATTCCTGATCTGCACCATCGTTCTTTCAGTCTTGAGACAGGAAGTTTTTTTTTTTTTTTTTTTGCATTATGAACTATGCATATTAGCCATGTGACAATTCGTATATGTGTGTTCAAATTTTGGGGGGGGGGTTATTGTGAAAAAAGGGCCAGGGGCAACGGTGGGAATCGAACCCACGACCGCGGCGTGAGAGTCTCTCATGCTAACCACTCGGCTACCGCGGTCCCCGAGACAGGAAGTTAATTTTGAAGAAGCTGTGCAATGGGACGAAAAAGCTCTGCCTTCTTTATTTATTCGCTGGATGCGGAAAAAGACCAATGTGCTACGTTCAACGATGACAGTTCTTACTGATTAGCACTTGGTTATGTCGAGGCTACGTGTGGGAATGTGTTATCTGGGCTACAAATTTCGAAACTATTTTGTCTATATTCAACTGTTAATAACCACTGGAAAGAAGTTTCCAAAAAGTGGAATGGAGAAATATACTGATTAGACTTTTAATCTTGCCGGTACTCGTTATCCTGGTGGTTATTTACGTAGGATGTAGTAGCATTCCGACTTTAGGTTTTGCTCGCCATTTACGCATTGTAGTAAATTCTTGGGCCTGATGTGGATAAAAAGAAAGGGTTTTTGTACGTGTTGAACTTAGATGATGTACGGTGAAACGTAATATCAAGGATATTCTCTGAACAGGCTCGTCTCGGATAGCCAACATCTGGCCATATTAACCACTCTTAACATTCCCCTCTTTGGAAAAGCCAAAAAATCTAAGGTTTATTTTTATTCAAGAAAACTGTAAAGAACAAAATTAATGAACATAATCTAAAATACTTTGAATATTCACCCAAGAGGATGAAACGTTCAACTATGATATGGTATAGTATGGCAAGAAGGATACTAGGAAGCGGGGTTTGTGCTCCGCAGGCACTGCATACCCAAGGCATTGGCTTATTGTTCCTTCCTAGGTCCTTGGTTCAGTGTAATAAACTCAATCCTTCTCCTCAGGTCATTGACTGTCACTGCTATTTTCGTATGATAGGTTAAATCTCCATTGAGCTGTTGCATTCGAAGAATGATGTTATGATCGATGGCTGTTTCCTCCTCCTCATTCATAATCCGCAGATGGTATCATCGTTGTATATGCCCATGTTGTGTAGATGTTTTCACAGATGCTAGTAATTTTGCCAGTCTTGGTAAGGGTTGTTTCATGATAAGTTTCTGATCTTCTAGCGCCGCTAGAGTTTATCCACTTCTTCTTTTGTTTTGTTCGGATCCATTATGCGATGGATATCCATTCTATATTTGTTTTTGTTATCCCGAGTATAGGTTCGGTGCCTATGTATGGTCTTGCAGATCCTCCTCTGGCCAGTCTGTTTGCTTTCTCGTTACCCAAAATTTCTCTGTGCCCTGGCACTCAAAGAGATCATCAGGTTGTTGTGTTTCCCCAAGTTTTGCACATTTTGGACGCATTCACTGATTAATTTTGATATGATTCTTTTACATGCTAATGCTTTAATGACTGGTTGGCTATCAGATCTTATGAGGATTTTTTTTTTGCCAGTGTAGCCTCTTTTAAGATTTTCCAGGGCACAAGCATTCATGGCATGTATTTCTGCTTGAATGATCGAAGTGTCCTTCCCTAATGAGTTCGATTGCTAATGTTTTGGGCTTGTACAGTAAATGCCCGATCCGGTTCCTTCGTTTGTTTTTGGACCATCTGTATACCATATGATTGTATCTGATGCTCTCCTGTGTTCTTCCTCTCCTTTATGGTCCGTTGATACTTTCTAGAATGTTGTAAAGAATGTTTCCTGGATCATATAGTCAGTCTGATTTTGTTAATTATGGATGTATGCCCGAATTGTTTAGTTCCTATCCAATTTAATTGTTTCTGGAGCCTAAATGAGCTTTCCCTTTTCTCTCCTTTATAAATATTTCCAGTGGAGATAGGTTTAGCAGAGTTTCTAATGTACTTGTAGATAGGTATCCGATATACCGGATTCCCATCTACCTAAAAACTATATAAACTAAACTAAAAATTGAGGCAATTAAAGTGGGAACTTACTGGTATGAAAAGTAGGAAGTGCTAAACCGTTTGAATTATCTTGATGGTTGTCTCCTACAGAAAATTGACGGTTAATAATTCAAGGTTTCAAAATGAAACGTATCCTTACTTCAGGCGAAGGGCTGTATTGTCGCAAAAATTCCCCGTTGACCGTTATAATGGCCCAGAAATTAAATGCGCTAGTTTAGTGTAGTAGGGATGGTAGATGAATTTTTAAGATACGAGGGGAACTGCTGCATCTTAATTCTAAACCAAAAGGCGTTGAAGAAGATGAAGGAAGTTCCTTCAGTAAATACTCTCTATGTAATGTAAATAAGCGCGAGGAGATGTATCTCATTATATGCCTTTACCCTATATTGAAAAACATCCAGATTAATAGAGTTCCATTTTTCCTTAGGAGAGGTAAAGCAATCAGACTGCTAAATGGTTCAGGTTGGACAGAAATCAGACATCTGTATACCATAGCATTGTGTCTAATGCTCTCCTGTGTTCTACCTCTTCTTTGTAGTCCATCGAGACTTTATAGGATTTGGTAAAGAATCTTTTCGAGATTATGTAATCATTCCCCATTTCTAAAAATGGGTGTCTGATTTTATTAATTATGGTTGTATGCCCGGATCGTTTACTTCATATCCGATTTGATTGTTTCTAGAGTTTAAATGAGCGTATGAACTTTTACCTCTCCTTGTATAAATTTTTCCAGTGGAGTAGGTTTAGCAGAGTTTTTAATGGATTTGTACGGGTTGTTCTCATTGCCCCTGTGATACATAGGTTTGCTGGTCTTTGTATGCTGCCTAATGTTTCGATAGCTACTTTTTGTTGAGCTTTGTTCCACCAGAAAAGTCACCCGTAACTCCGGATGTACCAATCAATATAAACACATGATTAAAGAACTCCCAACAAAACTTGCATACACATTGCAGTCTTACGAATATATACCGATATATACCGATCCCAAGCAGCTAGGAAAACACATACTTAAGATAGGCAAATTTAATGATGATCTCGTTTGTAAGTTAGGCAATGAGAAGGAAGAAACTGCCGCCCATAACGCTAAAACAGCCGGACATATTAAAGCCATGATTTAAAGACCATCATCAAACTGACAAACATATCGCTACAGTAAAAATATTATCGGGAAATAGGCCTATATACAAGTCACTGGCATCTGAGAAAATACCTACACGATATGAACAATGATGACCCAATTTGTAGATTATGCACTGAGGAGGAAGAAAGTGTCACCCAGGTTCCAGTCATAATTAACTCATGATTTAATATTCTCCACCAAAACTGGCAAATACTTGTTACAGCTAAAGCGGTAAAACTCATCCTAGTGATGGGAATACATACCGGTCCCTTACAACTAATGAAACCTTTAGATAGCATAGTCATATTCAACTTCCATTGGAGACAACTTAGGATAACAATAAAACCCAGAAAAAAGATTTGCAACAATGGCCGTCTATGACCCAATACTTTTTAAGAGAAGGATCGAGTTGATTGAACTGAACTAAGGAACTAGGAAAAGTACAATAAGCCAGAAGGCTAGTGTGCATAGTGGTGCATAGTAGTCCATCGTCATCACACACAAAAGTCCTACCAACATCGAGGCAAAACACAAACATTCAATCCACAATCCCACACTTACTCTTACTCCTATCATCTTACAATATGTTTTAAACCAAGTTAAACTAGAAGAAGATAATAAACAGGGAAGTAGTACCAAAGAATATTCCTAGCTGTTGAAAATTGTGGGATTGATATGTGTTTCAAAGTTTTTAATTTGTATACCGTTGGAGCGTTAGTTCCATTGCATTAGTTATTTCTGATGCCTAGAGGTTCACTGGACCGTTACAAGCAAACATTTTCATAATTTACCTAATCGACATTCAACGAATCTCGCGGGTGGGCCGAAAACCCTTCAACCGGGGCACTTTCGTTTACTGTTGATTTCCGGTCAGGTTAATGTTTGTCTTGGTCCGCTGGTCCTTCTTTTTTAACGAGAGAGGCCCGATTAATTTCCCTGACTGACGATTCGAAACGTCAACAACCCTGAACTTTTCCCTTCAATATTTTGATCATTTTTTGTTTTTCAGGACGAGTCGCTTTCGAAAAACTCTCCGAGTTGGACTACAGGGGCAACACGTATTTTACAATTAAAAATTTATCTCTTTACGAATGCCAGGGGTGGTGTAGAGAAGAACCCGACTGCCAAGCCGCATCCTTCAGGTAAATATCCATGTATAGATAGCTGACGATTTAACTTAACAATATAGACAAATCTGGTCAAATATCCAGTCAGATTTTGAATTTTAACTTTCTTGCAAGGTCCTTTCAATGAAGACGTCTTAAGGTTTAAGTCTGACAGGGGGGAAGACAATTGACCAAAAACTGACCATTTGAAAAATATAGTCACTTGTTATTATCCAGACTTTAGCACTAGTACAATAGATTCATAGCCGGACTGATCGTCTGTTCTACTCGACTAGTGGATCGACTCATCGCTCAAGTGATCTTCGACGTGATTTGCCAAAGAAATTTTTTCACCAGACGTTGTTCCGTCTGTTTTTGAAAAAAAAAACCCAGCGCAAGGTGAACGACGCCCTGCGACTTCCTGGGAGGGCAATTCAGCACTTTTCTGCTCCTTGAGGCTCATCAGAAGGTTTAACGACACACCTAGTTAATTTAGTTTTCGCCACGTTTTAACACTGACCTGGACAGTTTTTTCACAATTTTCATTTGCAATCTGGATCAAAATCTGTCATTTAAAAACTCATTAGTTTTTTATTTCTGCAGTTTTGTTTTAAATCCCCTGACGCCCGTGCAAGAAACGGTATGCCAGCTGCAGAATGAAACTACAGCAACGAACCCAGCAGCGACACCACAGCGTTCGGTCAACCTTTACTACATGGTCAAGTTGCAGATAAGATCAGGTACTTCCTTCAATATTTCAAGTCATAAATGGTTCTAAAACTTTTGATTGATTTTTAGATAATGTCTGCTTGAGACCATGGTCCTTCGAAAGGGTGCCGAACAAAATGATCAGAGGATTAGATAACGCCCTGATATACACATCAACTAAAGAAGCATGTTTAGCTGCATGTCTAAATGAGGTATAAAAACAATCGCAAAGTCCAAAAAACAATCTAAAAACTTTGTTTTAAACTTAATTTTTTCTTAATTTCAGCACCGTTTCACATGCCGATCGGTCGAGTACAACTACGTGACTCTCCAGTGCCATCTCAGCGACTCAGACAGGCGTACGACAGGGCAGTACGTGCAGTTCATCGACGCCCAGGGTGTCGACTATTTCGAAAACCTTTGCCTGAAATGTAAGTAGAAAGAAACGAAAATTTTGCGAGGAATGAAATGGTTCTTTCGGATTTCAGCGACCCAGGGTTGCAAGGGAAACAGGATTTACCAGCTTCCCAGGATAGGGGTAGCAGACGACAAAGTCGCACAGTATGTCTCACTACATTACTACGTCGACAAGGACTTACAGGTAAGCTTCATAATTAGTAAATGACTCATAAGTATTTATAGAAAAGAATTGAGAAATTGAAGAAGAAAACTCTTACGAATGATTAGTCATAGAATATTTAAAGAAAGAAACCAAAGTGGATTATTGAAGTCAAGAAATCACAAGAATAAGAAAATGATTGAACATAAAGACATGCAAAAAAACACACAAGAATGATTGCCAAGAAGACAAACGACTGTGTGAATAGAATAAAACAAAAAAGAATGATTACTGAAAAGAACGTACAATAAGAAGAATATAAATCCAAGAATGGAACAAAAAAGCACATAACAAAACATTAAACATAATAAAATCCAAAAATAGAAGGAAGCCCAGGAAAAGAAAGAAATTACACAAGCGAATGATTTAGGAGAAGAAGGCTCATAAGGATAACGGAGGGACAGAATGCGGCACAGAATTTGTAAAAATTGGGATATAAAAAAATATTAAAAATAAGAAAACACAAACGAAATGATTGAAACGGCTCATAAAATAATAATGAAGAGAGAAGGAAAGGACAAATTATTGAAAATTAGAACACAAAGCAATGGGAGATATCAATACGCAAAAGATGACAAGAAAGCATAAACATAAAAACTGTATGTTAATAAAAAATACACAAAAAAATTTCAATAATATAACATATATTAAGATATATATTCAAATATGTAAGAATGTATAAAAGAATAACTGTACAAAAGAAAAGACAAAACAATGATTTAAGGAAAATAATTACTACAAAAATTCTGTAAAGAAGAAAACTAAAAGGAATGATTAATAATCTAATCAGAACATAGGACAGACAAAAGACTTAAACTCAGAAAATTATTAAAGTGCATAAGAGATCAAATTGATTATAAAAAGGAACACTTAATAGAATGGTAGAAAAATGAGAATACAAGAGAATTAGTCAAAAAAGAGGTCACAAAACAATGCTTGAAAGGAAATATACACAATGGAAGGACTAAATAGAAAAAAGAAGAAGAAATTATCTAAGATAACAATGCACAACAGATTTTGTAAAGTTTTAAATTGAAGAAAACACAAAAATTTATTGTAAAGATGAACACCCAAAAGAATGGGGTAAAAAACCGACATTATTGTTATAAAAGAAGAGAGATACAGAACAATTATTGACAAAAAATGCACCAAAGTTAAAAGAAGATAATTACGATAAATAAATGATGATAAATGAACTATGATCGAACAGAAATTATACTTGAGAAGGACCAAAGAGATGAAAACCGAAAATAATGATCGAAGAGAGGAAGGCACGGAGTGTAAACTTAAAAATCCCACATAAGAATGACTAAGGAGTAAAAAATATATAACAGAATGATTGAGTGACGATAAGGACTCAGAAAAATTTACGTGAAAAACACAAAAGAAACATTAATTGTATAGAAGAACACTTCAGAATATTTTGAAAAAGAACAAGAGCATGATTCAAAATAAGAGAATACAAAGCGAAAATAAATACAGACAAAACTATATTTTAAAATAAATACGCACCAGAAAAGAGAGAAAAAAGAATGGATGAATGGTTAGAGAAAACAGAAAATATTGATTGATTGTAAAGATAGAAACCCATAAGAAAGATTTAAAAGACATATCTTAGAAATCATAAGAACTCACAGAAAATTGTTGTTTAAGGAATCTTTTTAGAATCATTTTTGGGTTTCACCAACCTTTCGTCAATTTTATCGACATTATCATTGGGCCATCAGTAAGGGATTTCAAGAAGATTTTTTAAACAACGATTTAACTAATGTAGGTCGATCAACTTCAACATTATTTTACAGAAAATTATTAAAGAGAAGAAATTGCACAAAATTGATTGATTATGAAAAAAAAGATAAATCAGGAAAATTATCCAAAATAACACAACACAAAGTAATTATTGAAAATGAATATACACAAAACAAATATGCAAGAGAAAAAGCAAACCAGCGAAGAAAAGAAAGACTAAAGAGAATAAAATATAACAGAATAATCGAAAAAATACAGAAGAATGATTGATTGGAATAAAGAACATAAAAAAGGGTAAAAATACATAACATAAGAAAATTATTAAAACGTAAGAAAACATAAAACAATTGAAAAGAAACACATTAGACAACACAAAATTAGAAAGACAAAATAGGAGAAGATAGAACATGATAGTTTTAGTTTAACCAATACATAAGTGTAGTGTAAATGATGTATTGCAAGAAAACATCAACTACAGATGTATGAAAAGCAGAATATGGAACAAGTGATATAGTCTACAAATACAAGAAAATTGATGGAGTTAAGAAAATTAATGAAAATAGTCCATAAAAATGAACATACAGAAGACAAAACGCGATCAGCCACTTTGAACCTATTGTAAAGATGTAGAAATCAAAACATCAACCTAGCACCTCAACATAAATCGACAAAACCAAAAAATAAACAGATATCCAAGACATCAAATGTTCCTTGTAAAATAACATGATGCGACAAGTGAACAATACTCAAAATGACTACCAAATTTGACAGTCATATAGCAAGATTTCCTCTTGATACTGACCATTTTCAAATAACGATTCTATACGCATCCTAGATGGATTCAATCGTATCTCATCATTGATGCAATTCTTAATCCATGTACATGAGTTTGAATCAATGATTGATTTCACATAAAAAACAGTATTCTCCAGCTGACGTTCTCAGACACCAATGGTCCTGAAAAAAGATACAAATAAACAATTCTGGAATAATAAAAGACACCTTCACAAATAATCAAGCCAAAGAATATCTAATTATTCTTGTCGTATGTGGATGTTGTAGTTAACCCTTTGAATGGGTCTTCTAACTGCCAGATTCTTGCCAGGTGTGATGTGACAAGTTGACTAATCAATATGCAAAAGTACTCTAAGAAGATGATAGTATATCTGGCTCAGCGTTTTTTATTAAAAATTCAGATATGACAAGTTCTTTTTAACTTAAGAAATCTAATGATAATCGACCACAATAATAAACACACTACCTGTAAAATTATCCACGATTTTTCATTAGGCTGTACCCTTAATTTTTGTAGGAAATGAAATAATATTTTCAAAAGTCTTAAGATTTACCTGTCATTTATGTTTTACTATATCTTTATTTTACATAATAGTGTCATTGTGAATGCTTCAGGTCACCAACGAAGCGGAGTGCAAGCTGGCTTGTGAGATCGAAAACGAATTCCTCTGCAGGTCTTTCCTCTTCAAGGGCCCTCCAATCGGCAACTCTTACAACTGCCAGTTGTTCCACCTCGACCACAAGACTCTCCCAGACGGGCCGAGCACTTACCTCAATGCCGAAAGGCCTCTTATCGACGACGGACAAAGAGTCGGCACTTATTTCGAAAACTACTGCGAAAGTAAGTCCCTTTGTGCTTTAATTTGGATTATTTTTGTTAATATACTTTTTATTCTTTTTAAAGAAACGCCTTCTTCTCATGATTCAACACTGCCCATTGTTTTCGATACAACGGACGATCCGACTTTGAACAATTTAACTCGATCCGATGTAAACTGCGATAAGACTGGAACCTGCTACGATGGTAAAATTATTTATTTAAATGATTTAGACCAGCTCTAATTTTTTTTGTATTTTAGTTTCCGTGAACTGCAAGGACACGAGGATCGCCGTACAAGTGAGGACGAACAAACCGTTCAATGGAAGGATTTACGCCCTGGGTCGATCTGAGACTTGCAACATCGACGTGCTCAACAGCGACCTATTCAGACTCGACCTGACGATGAGCGGTCAAGACTGCAACACCCAATCTGTCGTAAGTAATTAATTCACCTTTAAAAAAATCAATCTACCGTGATTTCTTTTTTTTGGAAAGACTGGGGTTTACACGAACACAGTTGTACTTCAACATCACAGCGTTGTCATGACGAAAGCCGATAAGATTTACAAGGTGAAATGCACGTACGACATGTCATCAAAGAACATCACCTTTGGAATGATGCCCATAAGGTATTTTCACAATTGAATGATTTTCAAAAACGCAAAACTAATTTAAATCCGTCTTGCAGAGATCCAGAAATGATCAGCATCACTTCAGCACCCGAAGCGCCAGCGCCGAGGATCAGAATACTCGACACGAGGAGCAGAGAAGTTGAGACTGTCAGAATTGGTGACAAGCTGACCTTCAGGATCGAAATACCAGAAGACAGTAAGACATTTTATTTTTTAATAATTCGTATTCAAAACTTACAATTGATTTTTATTGTCAGCTCCTTATGGAATTTTCGCAAGGAGCTGTGTCGCAATGGCCAAAGACTCTAAAAGCACATTCCACATCATAGACGATGAAGGGTAAGGTTTTTTTACTTTTACTATATCTTTGATTTTTTCTATTTATTTAAAATTTATATTTTTTTACCTTAAATTACTAACCTAAATTACATAATAGAGTGTAGAGTCAATATAATGTTCTAGCCATTTAACTCTTTATTTTTCCATCATACCAAAAGTGCTATATGTTTATTGTGGTTTTTCTAGGTGTCCAGTTGATCCTAACATTTTCCCAGGCTTCACCCCCGACGGAAACGCCCTCCATTCGGTATACGAGGCTTTCAGGTTCACGGAATCCTACGGTGTCATATTCCAGTGCAACGTGAAGTACTGCCTCGGCCCCTGCGAGCCCGTAAGTCCCCATGTCTCCAGGTGAAACGTCGAATTTATTAAAATCCTCCGTGTTTCAGGCCGTCTGCGAATGGGGCAGGGAATCCGTCGAGTCCTGGGGAAGGCGGAGGAGAGCTGTCCCGTCGAACGACAGCGAACCCTCTGAGGACGACATGACCCTCAGCCAGGAGATACTTGTGCTAGACTTCGGCGATGAGAAACAATCACAGTTCCTGAGGAACAACGAAGCCCATTTCGCTGAATTTGGAAAAGGTAAGAAGAAAACCAACCTATACTACAGTTAAGTTTGGCTGTTTTTGTTGAACACATCCAATAAAAAATTTCATCCGTTCCACAAATTTTTTGGAAGATAAAAATTTGTTATATTTCCTAAAATACATAATTATAATAGCTAAAATCTCCTTATTATTTTAATATTTGGACTTAATTGATACTTGGGTATTGGAATAATTTGAGTTTTTCTCTTTCAGATAAGACTGTCACGATCGTCGAACCTTGCCCGACGAAGGCGTCCGTTTTCACCCTCGGGCTCACCTGCGCACTGCTCGTCCTCCTCTACATCGCCACGATCTTCAGCTACTGCATGAAGAAATGGTTGACGCCGAGGAAGATGATGGCATGAAACATAAAGAGGAACGGTGCCTGATTAGTGATATAAATTCGTCTTGCAGACTCGCAAGACCGGACATTAGCTTTACAACGAAATTACAATGAAGATGCGACACTTGCTTTAGCAATTAGGGCCTTATTTATATACTCTTTATTATTTATTTCAAAGTGTTTCCTCTTCGTTGTAATGTTATAACAACTGATAGTGTGTTATGTGTTAGACTTGGTCTGTTAAAATTAAAATTATGATTTTGTGAGTTGGTATTTTTTCTGTATAACGAAATATTCAATTGCATACATTAAAAAGCCAACTCACAAAAATATTTTAAAAAAATATTTTATATTAAAACTAATAATTCTCGAATGTGCGAAAATTGATAGCCAAGGGCAAATTGGCAAAAAAAAGAGATTAATTTTTTAAAAGGGTTATTCAATTTTTTCCTGAATTTGGCAAAGGGTGTTACACCCTGCACAGAAGCTTAATATTCTTTCTAATAAAAATGATCATCAAAAAGAATCTACTGTACATATACGCTTTAGTTGTACAACCATTATTTTTTTTATTTTTTAATGAAATATGTCTAAGCAATGACTAGGTTCATATACGGGTCTCCCTAGCTGGCACAATTTAACTAGATTTGAATTAATCTGCCTTGCAAAAGGGGTTGGTGAAGGGGAAATAAAACTTTTACAACCACTGGTACTCTTGTCTCCCACCAGAACTGTCGGATGCTTTGTATATCTAGTCCCTTCGAGCCTTTGATCAGCCAGGACTTTTTTTTTTCATCATTTCGCCGATACAACTGAACCGAGTACGTGCTTGTAACTGTTTACTGTCTGTCTTTCTTTCCTGTAAATAAACATTTTCTTTTTATCTTGGATAAAATAAAGAGAAAACTGAGTGATAAATTAATAATTAGCTCGTAGTTTTTATTTATAATCTACATTTTTCGTAAATAAAAAATATATTAAAATAATATACGTTGTTGTGATTTGTAAAGCACTTGTTTACCTGAAATTTACTTTCCTGTTTCAGAAAAAGTCAAAAATTACTATTTAGCCTTCTATACAACCTAATTGTTTCCTAAATATAAGCAAAACATTTCTTTTTGGTAACTCAATAAAAACCACTTTTATTACATAAGGTTTTTCATTACATTTATTTGATATTTACAGTCCCAAGTATTGTATTAAATAATTTCCATACTGAGAAATTCCATACTGAATTTCTCGTTTGAGTCTCTTATAGGAGTTGCCTGGAGGAGGTGCAGAATGCTCTGCGCCAAGAACTGGGGACTAAACTCCAAAATGACCCTATGGCTATAAACTTGTGTCCTAAGGCTAATGTTGACATATCGGTCAGTGGTGTGTTGGACCGAAATTCTTCAGACCAATGCAATAAGGCTATTAAGTGACACCCAAAGACAAGTGTCACTGGTGCCGTGAGTACAACGCCAACTGCGGTCTTGGAAGTTTTGTTAAACCTCCCACCACTTCGCATCTTAATCCAAGGAGAAGCCAGAGCAGCAGCCCACAGACTCATAAATGGACAACCAACTGCTAGGATAGGTAAATAACAATGGAAACTGAGGGAGGAGATACAGGCAGATGCTATTCTAGGCATGGCAATTGATGCTACTACTCCAAAACACAACTTTACCAAGAAATACAAAGTACAGATATCAGAACGGGAAGAATGGGCCAAAGGAACAAAGCCAAAAGGAAACTCCTATACTGACGGCTCCAAAACCGACAAGAGCACGGGGCTGGAGTCTTCAGGATGAATCCAAAGACTGAACTGGCGGTACACTTAGGTAAATATTCTAAAGTTTTCCAGTCTTAAATCATAGCGATTGAACACTTCGCCAGGGAAATAAAAGGACTAGGAATACATTCCCAGAAGATAGCCATCTTCTCTGACAGTCAGGCAGCACTAAAGGCCGTAGCCTCATGCGAGGCGTTTGAAACTGCATGGAGGCCCTGGCGGAAGTCTGACACTAATGACCTGACCCTCGAACGGGTCCCTGGACATTCGGGGCATAAAAGCAACGAAAAAGTTGATATGTTTGCCAAAAAGGGTCCAACATGGACTCTCTGGGCCCAGAACTCTACTGCGGCTTAGCAGTCTTCCACAAAAGTGGATAATCTTAAAATGGATCCTCAATGAGACAAAAACCTCGTAGAACAATACCTCAGATATGAGGCATGCGAAGAGATTCTTAGAAGGACCATCCGCAAAACTTACAAAAGAATTACTGCAAGGCAACCGGAACCGAACCAGGATTCTGGTTGGACTCCTGACAGGGCACTGACACTTAAGAAAGCAGCTACATACGGACACGCAGCTAAAAGTATTCTGAAGGACATCGCCAACAATGAGAAGAAACTCGCATCGGCCATCAATCAGAGAACTTTTTTGCTGAAATGCAGACAACACAAGGCCCTGAAGATGATCTCAATAAAAGATCGAAACGTTGGCACGATAAAGAAAACGTTTTTCTGAAACCTACATCACACCCGACCGCATCTCACGATATCTGAATAACTTAAGAAAGCACATGCACCGGATAGGAATACAGAGAGAAGAAACACTGTGCAGATACTACCAGGAAGACCGCAGAACACATTTTATGTATCTGAAAAGGTCTATGTGGGTGCAGGTCTTGCAACTAGAACAGGAAAAACCGCAAGCAAGATCCTATACTAAGGAGCTGCCAACATGGAGGCTGATTAACAACCTGAAGCTGGCCAGTGAGTTATAAAAAAATAAAATGGATCCTTAATGAGTTCATAACCTGGTGGAACAGGTACCCGAAGAGATTAATAGAAGGACCATCCTTACAACGGAGGTTTCTGGAAGGCAATCGCAACCGAACCTGGTTTCCGGTTCTCCCAAGAGATTCCCGACAGAGCATTGCCACTTAAGAAAGCATATGCACTGGATAGGAGTACGGACAGAAGAAACACTGCGCTGATACTGCCAGGAAGAGGAGGAGACCGCAGAACACATTCTATTTTTCTGTGAAGATCTATGTAGGTGCAGGGTCTTGCAATTAGGACAACAAAAACTACAAACAATATCCTACATTAAGGAGCCACTGGCAAAGCTGTGGAGGCTTGTTAATAACTTGAAGCTGGCCAGTGAGTTATAAAGAACAGGGGAGCACAATAGATTTATTGAGTTCGAGGTGTAGTAGGACTTGTGGCCGCCTCTTTTATCCCTATCCGTATCCCTGCTAGGAGTTGCCCAGTGGCAATTTATATGGTGGGTTTTGGATGTGGTCATGTACAAACGGGATGATCGACATGAGGTCATAGAACGAAACAAGCTATCCAAATCATACCAGGAACTACAGCTGGAGCTGGAAAAATAGCTTGAGAAAGAAAACCTCAAGCACCGAACGAAAGTTGAAATTTTATCAAATTAGGTTAACCGAGTTTCACACTGAAAACCTAAATATTAAACTTTTTGAAAAGCTACCTATTTTTTTTTTTAATTTTACCGTTTATATTATTGCTTTCATAACCTATTTTATATTTCATCGGGCAATAGATAGAATCTAATGAAGAGACTGCAAAAAATTACTATTTTCAAGTAGTAAGCTTCAGGTTCAAACTTATTCTTTACAAAGAATAGTTACAAATTTTATTGCTAAGCTAACAAGTTTAATTAAAAGATATTATTATTGTATCTTCTAACTTTAAACTCACTCTAAAATTTTGCTAACTTAATTAAGACCGAACCAAAATCTCCTGTGGGATCCAATACGAAAATTGACGAGAACTTGGAACATAGTTTCTTGAAAATTGCAAGGAGAATTTTGGCAGAGTTATGATTTTGCCTTTATCAATATAATTTATGCACAATTGGTAGAAAGTAAAATTATGAAAATAATATGTAATTACATGTAAAAAATAGACCAGTGAAATATTGGTTAAGTTTTGATTTGTGACAGACGAGGTCATGTGTTCGGTTTTCAACGTTACCCTTGGAACTAGTTGGCGTATAGTTACAACAAAAACTTAATTAACTAACAATTAAAAATAAAAGAGATTACTCCAACTTAAAAAGTGTTTGGACCGATTTGGCCTAATAACTTAGACACAGCAAAAATCGAAATGCTTCATCTGCAAAGTCAGATTTGGTGATTAAATTTTATCTTTCTGTTCTTATACATGAGAAGGTTTTCAGCGTTCCCTCGGAACTAGTTGGAGTATAGGTATAACAAAAACTTAATTAACTATCAATTAAAAATAAAAGATGATTACCCCAATTTAAAAAGAATTTGGACGGACTTAGCCTAATAACTTAGATGTTATGAAAGACAGCAAAAATCGAGAAACTTGCTTCAACTGGAACGTCAGATTTGGTGATTAATTTTATCTTTTGGTTTTTATACATGAAAACGTCAAGTAATGCTTCTGGCTTCTGTTTGTAATTTAAAAAACCTGGCAGGTGCTCTGACTCTGCTGACTCAAAACGGGTACCTGAATGAAAACAGCAATGTCATTATGATCAGATAGGCCATTTTAAGTCTTACTACACGAGTATAATGAAGTTATAAATTATTAAATGTTGAATAATATTTCCTAAAGCTGAAGGGAAGGAAATTGGAAAACTAACTGCAGGCAAGTTTAAAGGTAAAATCTTTTTTTATAGTTTGATGAGTCTGGAAAAAACGGATGTTTAGTAATGTAACATGTGATATAAGTTGATATAAGTTTAGCACAAATATTCGATAAATATTGCATTTGCAGTTTAGTAATTATTATTTATTTTTATAAGCGAGTTTTCTTGCATAGGGAGATTTAACGTCGAGTTATTTTTCTTGGCTGGTGGACGATTCGGGTTCGTCCTTTGTTTCACTTTCTTCTTGGACCTGAGAGGGTTCTTTTGATGTTTTTCCGCCGTCGGGCAACCAGAGGCCGGAATCGACACAGCGCTTCATGTGATAGGCCGCTTCTTCTTCTGGCATCTCGGCGACCGCTTTCTGCAGCAACGGGATGTCCTGTTTTTCGAAGCATTCTTTGAAGGACTCCGGCAGAGATTCGAAGACTTCGAGCGGGTCGAGACCCCCCGGGCCAAGCCTCGCCTCTCGTTCCTCTATTTCCTGCTCTTGGATCGCCATTTCCAGCTTTTCCTCGGCCCTCCTTCTCACCCGGTTGATAAAAGCTTTCAATTCGTCGTCGAAGCTCGACTTGTAGTCCTCGCCGCAGATTTGGATCTTCGTGAAGAAAGAGCTGACGCACGCCCTCGGGTCGACTTCGAGCTGCTTTCCCAACTCGAGGATGTACTGCATGCAGATGCACTGGTGGGCTACGTGCTGGGACAACATCTGCTTACCTTCCAACTCCAGGTTTATGCACCAAATGACGAGATAATTGGAAGTGTATTCGGAAACGAGATGCAGATGTTCTTGTAAGAACTTTTTACTATCTTCATACTTTCTCAGCATACCGTACACCTTGAGCTCTTTCTCGTTCTGTTCGATGAACTCTTGCATCTTCTTCTCTCTCTCCTCTTCGGACAGCTCTTCCAGTTCCAACTGAGGCGGCTTGTTTATCAATGTTTTCGTGAAACCGGGCTGGCTGATCGTGTCCACGTTCCAAGGCGTCACTCTCTCTTTCGCTCTGAGCTCTTCTTCGGTCTTCTTCAGCTTCTCTTCCGTCCTCTCTAATTCTTCGAGTTTGGCCGTGAGCAAAGGGACGTCCACCTCCTCGCCATCTCCCTTAGACAGCTGTTCTTTTATCTCGTCAATCCTCTTCCGATTGACTTCTTTGGCTTTCGCAAACTCTTCCTTTTCCTTTTTGGCCTCCTCCATCCGCTGGATCCTCGCTTGGTGTTTCCATCTGAAGAGCGAGGGCGTGTCGATGTTGGGGTGCGTCTCGTCTTCATCATCGGAGATCTCAATGCTCTTCCATTTGCTGTAGTCGACCATTTCGACGATACCAATACCTCACTTTCAAATTTGGTGGCTCAGATGCAGAGAAAAACAAAGGCTTGTCTAACTTATAATATGAAAGCTCGATTTTAATTGAATAAAAATTATAAAATAATGAAGCCGATTGTTCTCATGTGTTTATTTTCATATGGTATATGTTTAAATGTATGTTTTTGTGTTCTTCAAACAATGTTACCAATATGTTTTTTTTATAAACAGGGAATTTAATATAATCCTGTTTTTTTGAAAAAAATTCAGATTTGTTAAATATTGCAATTTTCTGAAATTGGGGGTTTCATACGTTGTTACTTCATTTGGACTTACTAAAGATTTTACCTCAATAGATAATATCCTTCAATTAAAAAAAAAACAACCAGGCTAATTATATCAAAGCAATAATAGAAATCATATCTCGATTTTTTAGAAGAGCAATTTTGTGCCCGTGTAAATTGGTAATTATTCGGTCCGACATTTAGCGATCTTTGGCGGTTCACGAGGCGAATATAAATAACCGATTTGTGAGATTGTCGAATGGGGTTGCCCAACAATGAGCCGAGGGGGCAGAGCAGGGCCTTTTCAACTGTTGCAATTTAAAGTGCAGTGGGGCAATACCAAAACAAAATTAGTGGGGTCGTAACAGGTATATAAACGCGTTTGAAACAACATCAGAAGGATTGGACCACGGTACAACACACATCCAACATGTACAAGGTGAGTCGGAAGGATTCTATAAATCGTCTTGAGAGAAACTAATACATTTCTTCCAATTACAGTCCAATTTGAAAATATTCTAAGCATAGGCTTTTTTATACCGAAATAACCTTTCATTTTATTAATAAGTTACCATGGCGATTTGTCATTTAATTCTTAATATTTTTCAATCTTGTCCATTACAGGATTATAAGTACAATGCTTGTTTATAATGCATAATGAGTAAATATTTATTTATACTATATAGTATGCATTTCACATGACGAGTTGTTGGTTTAAAAATCTAATAGTTTGTCTTAAGAGCTTATGAATATTGATCAATTTTAACAAAATACAGGAAGGTTTGGACAAATGCCCACACACACACACACCGATGATGATCGTCATATCGATACTAGGAAGTCGGGGTTTTTTTGTCAAGCACTGCAGTCTTGTGGCTTATTGTATTTTCCTAGTTCCTTAATTCAGTGCAATCGACTCATCCTTCTCCCAAGGACTAGGTTATTGTCTATCATTACTACATTTCTCTAGGTTTTCCCTGTATCCTATCTTATGTCTCCGTTGATTACTTCGAAGACCACAAATCATCATTGAATACACCCATGCTTTGTTTTCTCAGATGCCAGTGACCGGCATATAGTCATATCACTCTGAGTTCAGCCCTCGCTTAGCAGTGAGTTTGTTGTCTTTGTGACGGTTGTTTTAACCTAAGCTGTATAGTTTGTCCACATCTCATTTTTTCTTTTTCAAGCCATTCTGAGATGGAGAGATGAATTCTATGTTTGGTTTTGTTCTTTCAAGAATAGGTTTAGATTATGTGATCTTGCAAATCCTCCCTCTGGCCAGTGTGTCTGCTTTTCGTTACCCAAAATTTCATTGTATCCTGGTATTTACGATAACATCAGATTTTTGTTTTTCACGTGGTTTTAGATATGCATTCACTGACTAATATTAATGTATTTTTTGTTTGTTAATGCTTTAATAGTTGCTTGGCTGTCCATTCTTATGAGGAATGTTTTTTGTCAGTGTTATTTCCATATTTCGGTGAATATTGTCAATTAAGGTGTAGTAGAGGCAATACTTAGTTATACACAATGATCAGTAAATATTTATTTAGAAATTATAAATTATAATATGTATCTCATGTTAAGTGGTTTATGTTAAACGAATACAATAGTTTATCTTAAGAGCTTAGAGTATTGATAAATTTAAACAATAAATTAAATATGAGATGGTTGTAAAAATTCAATTAAACAGACCTGTCTAGAAGCATGTATTTATAAATTTATTAGAAACCGTAAAATACCCAAGAAAAAGCGTTGGATATATTTTTTGTCGTACAATTCCCTTACAGAAAACGTATATAAGAAGGATTATGTAGTTCTAAATTAATAATTTATGTTCTGCTTATTTTTGTTTTAAAAAATCTGAAAAACAATTAACATTGCGGTAATGTGGCTGTAAGTTAAATAATCTGTCTTGTTCTTTCAAGATCAAATACATTGGTTCTATAGCGGAAAAAATAAACAGAGTGTAAGATATTAAGTAAAATTTGAGTATTATAATTTAATACATAATATTACCTTATATAAAGAAAAAACCAAATATAAATTTTAAAAAAATTATTCTAAACAAATTACAAAAAAAAAATTTGCTCTGTAAATTTTAGAAAATTTTATGGAATTATGTCTCAATTCTACACGGTTTTTTACCATTATTTTTAAAATTCTATATAAATAGATAGACGTTTATTGTAAAAATAATCATTGGATTCTTAAGGACATGCCAATAAAAAAATTAACCGTATCATAAGTGCCAATAAAAAGTGGTACTTTTATAGATCATCGAGGATTCATAGCGTCCTTTATAGATAGGGTACTTTTCTATCTGAAAGTCTAATCTAAGAAGAATCGAGAAATTCTTGCTAAATTCAAAGAAAATCATCATATAATGACTGTCTCTAACATTAAAAAGTTTTTTAAAAAACTTGGCGTTTCAACGGTACTACGCTATTAGTAACATATTACCATATCTCTCTCTTTCTCGCTCTTTCTCTCCCTTTCTCTCTCTCTCAATACTGCACATGGTACTAAGCTATTCTCTTGGAGCCAAAAGCTTAATATTTATGTAAATTGAGATTTACATTTGAGAATTTTTTTTTCACAAGAACCTTATATTTTTATATGCTGTAACATAATACATCTCTCTCTCTCTCTCTTTCTCTCTCTCTCTTTTTCTCTTAGTCTCTCTCTCTCCACTTTCTCTCTTTCAATTTTCGCACCTCCTCGCTCCCTCCCTGCCTCAAACTATCGGGATTATAAAAGAAGTTGTTTCGGACCTAAATTTGCTACATTAAAAAAAGACATGAATTTATTTCTCTTTCTTTCTCTCCTTTCTCTATGAAGAGAACAAGAGAGGTTGTTCCGCACCGTAATTTGCTAAAGGTTTTTAATAAAACGATATTCATTGATTAATTTCTTTTCCGCTTTCTCATTCTCAGTATGACATGGCTCTCAGTTGGACAATAATGTTGAACTGAATAATTTATGTGTCTTTTACTTACTTTTTACTTCACTTTAAGCATCCTACTGAGCATATCAGAAATTTTGGAAATTCGGGCCCTGACATTGATAATCTACTACTCCACTATCGAATGCCCCCTTTCTTTTTTACCCTAACAAATAAAACACGGATCAACAAATTAGAAGAAATAGCTCAGAAAGGTTATCAAGAAAGACGGAAGAAGGAAGAAAGTTTATTGTTATTTTTTTTAGTAGCAACTAATACGTACGTAAAACTGATCCATATTTAATTTGTATTGACACTGTCCCTTTTATTTTCATAATTCTTTATACTCCATCTAGGAAAAATGTTATTCCCCTGTGGTGATGGTTAATTCGTTGTTGTGTCTTCGGAAACTCAAATAATATAAAATAATTAATTTATTCACTGATCACTTTATTGTTTAAATCGATTGTATCCAACCAATTACATATTTTCTCTTTAACGATTGAACGAAAAATGTCCATGGTATAAAAGAAACTAGATTAATGTTTTGTGACATTAGAAATATATCAATGTCAGCTTTTAGACTTCCTTTTCCATGTCTTTAATTATGTTTTTTGAAAGAAATATTACCGTTTTTTAATAGGTAATTGCTTATTAAATTATGTATATATCGTAACCAATTTCATAGGCTAATAATGCGTATGCGTAGGCAGGCTTTTTATTTTCTGGAAAGTTTTGTGGCCGATTATACAAATGAATTAGTATCAGAATGATTAAAATAATTTTTTGGTTTCTTTCAGTACATTGCTCTCGTATCGCTTTTTGCTGCCGTCCAGGGTGGAGTCGTCGCTCCAGGTCCTGTCGCCTACGGCGCCGCCCCTTTCGGCTATGGCGCCCCCGTCGCTAAAGTCGCCGCTCCATTCGGCTACGGTGCCCCGGTAGCTAAAGTCGCCGCCCCTTTCGGCTACGGTGCCCCAGTTGCCAAAGTTGCCGCCCCCGTCGCCTACGCCGCCCACGTCGACGACTACGACCCCAACCCCCAGTACAGCTACGCCTACGACGTCCAGGACGCCCTCACCGGTGACTCCAAGACCCAGCACGAAAGCAGGTCCGGAGACGTCGTCCAAGGCAGCTACAGTCTCACCGACTCCGACGGAACCAGGAGGACGGTCGAATACACCGCCGACCCCGTCAACGGATTCAACGCCGTCGTCCACAAAGAGCCACTCGTCGCCAAGGTTGCCGCCCCCGTTGTCGCTAAAGTAGCCGCACCTGTCGCCTACGCCGCCCCCGTCGCTAAAGTCGCCGCTCCTTTCGGATACGGCGCACCCGTAGCCAAAGTAGCATCTCCTTACGGATATGCTCACTACTAAATGCAAAGCTGACCGATGCTACTATTGTACATACCTCATACGCTTAGATATTACGTTAAATATATTTTTTATCGATCATTTCGATTTTTATGTTCTATCCTTCATTCATTTATTTAATTCATGCCATCTGCAATCAGTAAAATCTCTGGATGATAATGCAAATATTTTAACCAGACAAAAGTAGCTATAAGACTACAAATTACCTACATGCCTACTGACGGTAAGAAGTCTGCAATAAGACATTTATATAATTGTTGACAAATTTTATTGTTATTTTAAGGGTTAACATTTTTTTCCCAGTAAGAACAAAATATAAAAAAGAGAGGTTTACAAAACAGGTAAATCTGATGCCAATTATTTTCTGGTTATCACTAGACACCTCACCTAATCAATCCACCTTTTTTTTAAATTAAAATCTATTATTTATATTCGGAGAACCATGGACTAAATATGTCATTATCCACTAGAGCTGATATTAACCATTATTTTATCATCATCTTAGTTTATAAAATGAATCAAGAATGAGGTAGTTTAGAAAATACATTTTTTAAATTTTTTGCCTACGTTACGGCCTTTATTCGGGTTATCTTCAGAACATGAAACACACATTTCTACCCGAGAGGAACAACACACTTTTACACAAAACCAAAGCCTTGTTGACATAGCTTGGAAGTAGAACAATTCAGCCTTCCGACGATTGTACAATAATCACGTTGGTTTATTGATAAAATACGGAAGATTTATGAATTTTTAATTGCCATAATAGGACACTAATTATTAAAACGATAATTTTTAGATAAAAAGTAAGATCCTACAGAACAATTTAATAGAATAGTCTTTGACATGAATTTACAAGAGTACTATACAGTTAACTGACAATCATCTGCATTGATGTGCATGGAAAATAAGAGAGGAGCTAGACTGGACCCCTGTATAATCCCAGCATTAATAAAACTAATGTCAAATCTTTTTGAGTTGAAATTGCCAAGTTGAAAACCGTACTCAAATATAACAAAAACTTACAATTAGTAGAGCTGAAATTAAACTTTTGGTGAATATTGTTCATTACGAGATTTTGGTTCGTTGATTGAATTATGTTACCCTCAGTTAGGCTGTCGAACAATAACCAGATCTAAAGCCCGACTTAAAAGGATTAAGTAAATGTGAATATTTAAGAATTTTACTACTCACTTGTAGATAATTTTTCCTAAAATGGTTGATTTCACAGGGAAAAATGCTAATGGGATAAAAGACTTTTTCCAGCCTGTAATTTGGTCTGCCTTCTTCGTTGGGTTGGTCTGTCAGACGAATTGAGGCTTTCGTCATCTTCAGTGTGTCTGCACTACATTACTCTGACCAAATCAGCATACTGCTACACTTTTTGAATCAACACTGCGATTAATCAGACAAATCATCATTCATGCCGTTTAGGTTAAATGTTTTAAATCATTCATTTGTCGAATATAAAAAAGCCTTTTCAACTTTGATCTAAGTAGATACCTCATAAGCCTCTTTACAAGTACAAATTTAACATTAAGTATCAAACAATTAATTAAGGTTTTTAGTTGAGATAAAAGTCAATGACACGAGCGGGATTCGAAACCACGATCTTCGGCTACATACGCCAGATTGAAAAATGGCAAAAAGGAGGGAAAATTCAAAAGGTGGGGTTGAGATGGGAAGTTAGTGTCCGAGTGGATCGAGGTCACGATAGCTCAAGCGGTAGAGCAGCGGCGTATCTAGCCGAAGATCGTGGGTTCGAATCCCGCTCGTGCCATTGACTTTTTTATCTATATATTAATATATTAATTGGTCAAGCGGACCACGAAATTAGTGAAATTAAGTATCAAAGTTAATTCAATATAGTGATCAAATTCTTCTTTATAACGAATGAGTGCCAGTGCCGCCAACATAATACCTACAGATTTTTATGACGAATTAAGAAAAGTACAAAGTCATTTCAGCAAGACTTTTAATCACAATAATCCTGAAACCGAAACAAAATTGTTATTTCAGCTCAATGAAGTGAATAAAATAATTAGTTATTTTAACCGAAAAGTTTTTACTTTTAGGTTGCCCAGAAAATAATAAATGATTTTAAACTATTCTGGTGCATAGCTTCAATTTGAGGACAATACATTTGGGCATAAGTTGTTTCGCCAGGATTCAAAAGCTGTATTAAATCAGCCCAAATGTAGCCAATCAAAGAGTCCCCATCACCTTTTCTTTACGAGTTGAGGATTTATTAAATGTAGTACTGCCTCTTTGTCAAGCCACGGTAAAGAACGTCTGCTGTGTGAACAAAACCGAATAAAATAAAATAATTTTGAACAGAAAAAAATAATAAAATAAACCTCACTCCGTCGGCTTCCTTCCTTTACCAACGAGGGTCCTAGAGGGATAGAGGATCGGAGAGAAAAGATGGTTCGAAGAAAAGAACAGAAAACCATTACCTCGTGGTGCAGACAACGATCTCGCCGCAGGAACAGTTCGATCGACGAAAGTACGGGTGAGACGACAAAACAAGATATCGAGAACGTGAACGCCACTGTATCCGGGAATATCGACGAATTTTGATTCACCGGAATTAAAAGATTCGAGACCTTCACCAGGACGGCTCGACCACAACTGGGAATGCAAGATATGGCCGAATTGAGAGGCCGACAGTCCAAAGAACAACGAAGTTCAAACAATCAAATTTTTCATCACAAGTCTCCAGAAAAGATTCTTCTCTGATTCGGGGTGGGTAAAGAAACGCCGAGCAAACTTCATAATGATGATTAATTTGATGGTCGTTTAATGCATGAGGAACCCAATATTCGAGGTTTTTCACCTTTCAAATTGTCTTAAGGTAGTCAACGACGATCGATTTGCTAACTGAAAGATTCTCTGCACGTTCTCGAACAGTTGTTCTGGGATTTTCTTCTGCCAAAGCTCGCAGAACATCGCCATCAAAGGAAAAAATTCTTCCACGACCTTCTTTGTCTTCAAGGCTGAAGTCTCTCTCTCGAAATTGTTTAAACCATCTCTGAACGGTGCTCTCATTCACACTGTCAACACCCCAGACTTCATCAATTTTTTCTAGTCTTTTGGACACAGTTCGGACTGAAATTTGTAAAACGAAAATCACTCGTTGACGTCTTAGTAATGACCGTATTATTCCAATGTAACGACCTGCTACGTAGGTAAACAAACATTTCTGTTTAGAAGAGGATTAAAAAGTGTTATCATTTGCACAAAAGAATAATCAATCAAATGTAAACATTTTATTATACATAGGGGTGATTGAGAGAAACCAGGAAAACCTGCATTATTTTTCGGGCTACCCAATTTACGTGAATTAGTTGATTTCGAACGGTTACCTGTCTTTTTTTTGTCAAAAAATTGCCTTTACTTAAAAGGAATATGGCTTTATCAAGGCACCAAGTCTTTCTGATCAAATAAAAGAATAAGTGCTTAACCAAATCATGAATTTTCAGATCAAATCTACGATTATTTTAGATTATATCGTTCAGGCTAATTGAAATAACTGAATATAATTTACCAAGGGATGTAAATAAACAATACATTTGAGCAGAGTTTAATTTATTTTTGAAGGAAAATGAAATAAATAGACATATATAAATATGTTCAGGTAGGATTTACAGTCTTAATGGTAGTAGGCCTTGGCGACGGGGGCGGCGTAGGCGAGGGGAGCGGCGAATTTAGCGACGGGTGCGCCGTATCCGAAAGGAGCGGCGACTTTAGCGACGGGGGCGGCGTAGGCGACAGGGGCGGCTACTTTAGCGACAACGGGGGCGGCAACCTTGGCGACGAGTGGCTCTTTGTGGACGACGGCGTTGAATCCGTTGACGGGGTCGGCGGTGTATTCGACGGTCCTCCTGGTTCCGTCGGAGTCGGTGAGACTGTAGCTGCCTTGGACGACGTCTCCGGACCTGCTTTCGTGCTGGGTCTTGGAGTCACCGGTGAGGGCGTCCTGGACGTCGTAGGCGTAGCTGTACTGGGGGTTGGGGTCGTAGTCGTCGACGTGGGCGGCGTAGGCGACGGGGGCGGCTACTTTAGCGACGGGGGCGGCGTAAGCGAGAGGAGCAGCGACTTTAGCGACGGGGGCGGCGTAGGCGAGGGGAGCGGCGACTTTAGCAACGGGGGCGGCATAGCCGAAAGGGGCGGCGCCGTATGCGACTGGTCCTGGGGCGACGACTCCTCCGTGAGCAACAGCTACGAGAGCTGCGAGGATGAAAAACTAAAACATACAAAGAAAATTCTTAAGCCACACCTTGTCCATTAATTAATTTTTTCCTTAACGGAAAAATATATCCTTAAGGCCTAATTTCCTTAACAATAATTTGAGAAACCTTGTTAGATAATCTGCAACTTTACAGGCTTTTTATCATCATCGGGTTAAAGGTTAAAGGACAGAATTTTTTTTCCCATTTTAGTACAAATTTTGTTAAACTCGGTGGGAGAAAAAGACAATATTTAGAATTTAAAATGTAATAAAAGGTATATTTTTCATACTTTTATATACAATGATGACTAGCTATATGTAATAGAAGACGTATTACGCAATTAAATGGTTATGTTTTATTTTTCATTTCTCTTCTTGTGTTAATTATTTCACTAAATTTATAACTTACTTGTTTATGGGTTTTAATGTGCCATTATTGTCCAAACTGACAACCTGAGGAAACATTTTTTTCCTTACGTTTACAAAAGCGTATAAGTATTTTTAAAACCAAAAATTTTTGCGTTTAGCGATCAATGGAAGATGGTTGGTGGTCGTATCGTATATTCTTAGCATAAATATTGTTGTGAGAAAAAAATTATCAAACGTTAATCTCAATTCACATAAACATTAATAGTTCAGGACGAATATCTTAGTTCCATGCTGGAGAGAGAGAGAGAGAGAGAGAGAGAGAGAGAGAGAGAGAGAGAGAGGGGGAGAGTGTGCATGTGTGTTCATGTGAATGGTATTTATAAAACTGGTGCCTTCACATTTTAATTGGTTTTATTCAATTAATAACTATTTTTGTCCCATTCTTTATATTTTCAACGGTATTTAAATTTTGCATTAATAATTTATAATGAGTGCAACCTAGGGCGAAGGGTAGCTCCAAGCTTGAGGAAGGGGCCCTAATATCGAACGGGGTAGGTGTAGGGGTTAAAGGGCCAAACTATGCCCTAGTAAAGCCCCTTGAACTAACCCCAACATTTCAATCTATGCACAAGAGTTAATAAAGAACAATATGAAAGGTTGCACAGATTTACTCTCAGACAGTCAGACGACTATAAAGGCACTAAGTATGCTCTCAACTCCAAATTTATCTGGGAATACCTAAATTGTCTAATGCCTTTAGGAAAGCACAACAAGATTACCTTAATATGGGTTCCGAGACATTAAGATATAGAAGGAAATGAGCAGATGACTAGCCAATAAAGAGGCAGCCCTCTCACCCATGGGACCGGAACTAAGATCACCGGAATATGTGCTTAAGTTGGAACTGGAAAAATGGCTTGAGAGGCAAGCTATGAAGGCGAAGGAACTCCACTCTGACCAGGCAGGAATTGAAATGAAGGCAGGAATGAAAAGTTTTATGCCTCTATACTGCCTTCTCGAATACCACCTAAAGAAGATGACCAAAGCAGAGCAGGGCCATGCTGACTTTGTCTGGAGGAACCAGAGACATTGGCACATGTCCTTTGTGGATGTGAAGCGTTAGCCACATACGGCCTCATCGGTAAGGCAATACTAACACCAAAATATGTGAACCAAGAGGCACTGAGGAAGGTGCTTAAATGATTATAAGGCGTTATAAGTCGATTATAGGTCGTAGTGAATGAAACGTACTTTTAAACCCTTTTCAACCACCACAAAAATAAATAAATACATAAATAAATATATATAGTGTCCGAAGTCGTGGCATGTAATGTACAACATGCTGCAAGTTTTAATCAGTTCTGTAGGAATATAAATGACGATAGTTTGTAGGCATCATGTTTTCTTTCATCATTATATATATATATATATATATATGTATTTGTTTTGCTCAATTCGTTAATATTTTGTTTTCATTTCCTTGTATTCTCATTACATTGTCAACTGAATTTATACTTAGTGTTAATAATATACAATAAATGAAATTCAATTAATACAACAATTTTAACTACAATAAATCAAAGAAGAAAAATATTTGAACAAAGAGAACCTTTATTTATATTATTTATATTTTAAATTAAACGTGTATGTTCGATTGTGTGAATAATATGTATAAATATTTATGAAAGGTACTGGTTGAGATAAAAAAGTCAGTGTCACGAGCGGGATTCGAACCCACGACCTTCGGCTCAATACGCCGCTGCTCTACCACTTGAGCTATCTGACTTCGATCGTCTCGGACACCAACTCTCCATCTCAACGTACAACCGTTCGAATTTTCCCTCTTTTTGCCATTTTCAAATGTCGTGTAATCAGGGTTCGATTCTCGGCAACAAATTAATGGAAAATTCGAAAGGTTGTAGGTTGAGATGGGGAATTGGTGTCGAGTGGATCGAAGTCGCGATAGCTGAAGTGGTAGAGCAGCGGCGTATTTAGCCGAAGGTCTTGGGTTCGAATCCCGCTCGTGACACTGACTTTTTTATTTCAACCAATACTTTTCATATATATTAATTCATTGAAAAAAGTTAATTGGTTAATCGGATCACGAACTGTAATGGATTTATTATGTATAAAACTATTGCCTCCAAATTTTGCTTTTCTTTTATTGAACTGTTTAACCCCTTTGTCCATATTATTCATTATATTATTTTTATATTGTCAACTAAATTTACAATTTGTACTAAAAATTAATAATAATTGACATTAGACAGGCAGTTTCATTTAATGAGTTTTCAGATAAAAACCTTCTTTGAAAAATAAGAAAATCATTAAAGAGTTAAATTTTAAGCAAAGTTAAATTTTAATTATAACAATATTAACTTTTCTAGTCTTAATACGACAATTTTTTTGTCTCATTTCACCAAGCCATCATCTTCGAGAACAGTGGAACAAATAGAATCAAATTTGAACAACATAATCGAATCACTTGTCAGACCGAATTTGAAATCGAATCGGAAGAAAATAGCATTTTGGAAAAATTGAAAATCGAGTTTAGAATTTGAAAATTTGCCAGTGCTCACCTTAGCTGCCATGGCGTTAGTGGTATTGAGTGACTCTAGACTGACTGCCTAATGGCCACATTACTCTTATATAGTGCCAACCCCTCGGTCCTTGACCCACTCCTCGAGGCGGCCAACCCCACCTCGGACCCTTGCAATTCGACCACCGCCTTTTTTTATTAATTTTCCTATTTCGAAAAAGAGAGAAAAGCAGAAAAATTGAGGGAATGGTTAAGCCTGATTTAAAAAAATTAACTGTGCGAAAATGGCACGAAGAAGAAGCGAGATGTCTCGAGTCAAAAAGTCTCCAAAAATGTAACGAATTCAACTTAACACAAAGAACATAACTTGCTTAAAATCAGCAAATTTAACAATAAAAAATCAAACGCTTTGCATATTTCTATAAAATGTTCAAATTAAGTCAATGTTAAGAAAGTGAAGATACGTCACTCAATTTTTAAAAAACAAAAATCTGATCAAAATTTAATATTTCAGCTCAATTTAATTACAAAAAACGAAATATTAATCAATCACAGGAATTAAATTTTGAGCCAAAATTTTATAAATGGGCAAAGCTTGCTGAGATCTTATAGCCAGTGAGCTTTCGTAAAAACTTGATTGCTATCTTCAAGAATTATGATTTCACTTGATACAAGATAAATCGCCTCATAACCCAGAATTTTTGTTTTAACTTTCAAAGCTCCTTGGATTACAATCTGTAACAAAGTTATTTTTTTTTTCAAAAAACAATTAATTAATCGTCATATCATTTCATCGACTATTCTAATAAATTATTTAGAAATCGTGAGATGCGGTCTGGTTTGATGCAGGTTTCGGAAAAACATTTTCTTTATCGTGCCAACGTTTCGATCTTTATTGAGATCATCTTCAGGGCTCAAAGTGTTTGTCTTTGGTGTAATTGTGCCATTCTTGCGTGTCGTGTAATCACCACACATATTCTAACAAACCTAAGAACTATTTTAAAAATTATTATCAGTTTAAATTCAACAATATATCGACAATTGTCATGAAATATAACCAATTAAAGCTTTTTTTTAATATATTTGATAGAAATGTATTAAAGTTGGTCTTGAGCTGGTTTAAGTCACAGGGTCTGTCTATGCTAGACTCTGACCTACAGGTGATGACAAAACCGACAAAACAGACTCCATTGAAACAATTCTGATGTTGAAGTGGGGTCGGACCCAGTGGCGTAGTGCCATTTCAGCGCAAAAACCAAATTTATTAATTATTACACGTCCCACAAATTACATTTCTCACGTTGATGTTATGAAAATGTCTCTGTACTACATATATTGTTAAATTTAAATTATAATATTTCAATGAATTAATCTTTTTATGTAAGGTTTTTGGTTGAAACGAAAAATGTAGTGCCACGAGCTGGATTCGAACTCAAGGCCTTCGGTTAAATGGCCACTGCTCTACCGCTTGAGCTATCGTGACTACGATCTACTCGGACACCAACTCCCCATCTCAACCTACCTTTCCAATTTTCCCTTCTTTTTACCATTTTTCGTTTCAACCAAAAACCTTACATAAAAAGCGTAATTAATTGAAAGGTGTAATTTGGTCAATAGACCACTAAATACAATGGATTTAATAAGTGAAACGAAGTATATCTTCACTAAAAACTCCCTGTGGCCATTTCATTTGTCGCCGAGAATCGAATGTTGATTATACGACGGTTAAAAAATGGCAAAAAAGGAGGGAAAATTCGAAAGGTAGATGGGAAGTTGGTGTCCGATGGGGGATCGAAGACACGATAGCTGAAGTGGTAGAGCAGTGGCGTAATTAGCCGAAGTTCTTGGGTTCGAATCCCCCTCGTGACACTAGCTTTTTTGTTTCAACCAAAAACCTTACATAAAAATATTAATTAATAAAAAGACGTACTGTGGTCAATGGACCACTAAATATAATGGATTAAATTGTAATAATAATTATATTGATGGAACATCAGAATGTATTCTTAATAAATTAATTTAGTTGCAAGTAATCCAAGTATTTATGTTTGAAAATTTATTGGCGTATTTTTCTTATGATTACATGATGACAAATTAATAGTGTAAATAAATGTTCATATTCCTTAACCTTGTGATTTATTTATTATTATTTTCTTCTTCTTCTTCTTCTTCTCCTTTTTGTTCTTCTTCGTGATCCTTATCTGTAAACGGACGGTGGTCGTTATGATCGCAATGCGCACACTGTCTACAACAGCTGTAAAGTGCTTCAGTGCTTTGGTTCTACCTTGTTTTTTCCTTCTGGAAAAATATTCATAAATTTCCGGGTGACATAATACATGGCTGAAATACCCCAGCTTCCTTGTTTTTACTGTAATGTCAATGTCTGCTGTTTTGTTCATATTTCTTAGTGTTCATCACGACAGTGATGTTTTCTGTTCACCCTATTTTTAACAACTTCTATAGGTTCAAATCCTCAAGTTTTTTTCATAGAGGCTACTATTAGTGTCGTTGCTTCGACCGCATTCAGCAGAATCTCAGACCAAGTTCAAGACTGCACCGTACCTTATGATTCTTCCTTCTTGAAGGTGGGATAATAGGTCATCTCATGAGAGTGTGTCATGAGTTATGAGATGACCTATTATCCCACCTCCAAGAAGGAAGAATCATAAGATTAACTTCTGAGGTCAAAATATAAGAAAACATCGTTACTGCACAGTACACTTTTCATTTTAGTAAATGCCTTTCTATTTTTGCTTTTGTTTCTTTATATATGTATCTTTATTTAGTTATTACTATTTGGGCCCATTCTAAGGTGACATCTTGACTTAGCTTGATTTCTAAGTTTGTGGTAGTGTTTTATTAAAAAAAATTAATTTAGTCTGCGCATTTAGTTGTAAACCATTTTCATTACTTGATTTCGTATCTAGTAAGCTGTGTAGTTCTTCTCTTGCATATCGCTTAATAATTATTGGATTACCTTTCAATTTTAAATTCTCCTCTACGCCATTAAAAGTTTCGCTGAATATTTTCGGACTAGATGTTAAATAGTAATAGAAACTGGATGTACCCATGCGTTACACCTCTCTTGACTTCGATGTCATCAGTTGTGCAGCCTTCTATCCTAATATTTGTTTTTTCGTTCCAGTAAAGGTTTACGATAATGTTAATGTCTTTATCATCCATTTGGTATTTTTAAGAATTTTTATGATTTTCCTATGTTCGACATTTTATTCGAAATCAATAAAGTACAGAAATACCGAATGGTTGACATCCACATCTGTCCTGATGAAGGATCCTCCAAAGGTGGTCTAAAGAACTGGATTTTCTTTCAAATTGGCCTTATCCCTCACCTTTTTTTAAATTATAATGATAAATCTATTTTATAATGAATTAGCATGAAAAATATATTACACACATTTTAATGTCTGAATTTTGTCTTATTTAATAGCTATAAAAACTTACTGCAAAATATAATGTGTAATTTATCCAACCATAATTTTTCAACAGCAAGTTGTTGAAGCATTAAAAATGAAATTTTCTAGCAAATATATTTCGTGTGAATCCAGTGAACATCAGGCAGACAAAATACTGGGTGTAGATAAATAGTCGTTAGAATAATTTGTTCCATATCATAGACAATAGAAAAGAACTATTTAGTTATCAACTATAATTAATACTTCACATTGAAATACAAAGTAATAATAAAATGGTGGATATGGATAAACATTTCTCAACAGATTTTCCTTACCACATAAACCATTTTATTTTGAGGACAAAAAATTAGTATATCTTAAAATCGATTAACATTTCGCTTGTTTGATACCTAATAGTACCTTTGAAATATCCCCTTGCCAAAATAATTGCTATCAGATGTTGTCCCATTGCAGGTCTATCTATTATGTTAACAATCGTAAAATAAAAAACTTGTTTTAATTTTTTGATGGTATCCTTACTGATTTTGTGAAACTCCATAATAAGAAGATGGGTAGAAAATAAATTGACTTTTCTACAATAGGCCTATTCCTACTCATCATGTTACTTAAGTTTTAATTTATAATTGATTATTAAAGTAAAAATAAATTGTTACCTAAAAGTCCTGCCGTTTATGTAACACCATGAATACGAACAGTACACAGAGAATTCGTGATCAAATTGTATTGATTAAATTAAGTTATATGTTATTTATGCCGAAAATAGCTCAGGTAAAATCATCAGGTGGCTAAAAGCTAAATAAACCCAATGCCTACGTGCATACTCATGGATAAAAGGGATGAGCTGAGTCAGATGAGGTCGAAGCCAACCTTGAATTTGAAGATAAAAAATACTTATTGAGAAATCGTGAGATGCGGTCTGGTGTGATGTAGGTTTCAGAAAAACATTTTCTTTATCGTGCCAACGTTTCGATCTTTATTGAGATCATCTTCAGGGCTCAAAGTGTTTGTCTTCTGTGTAATTGTGTCATTCTTGCGTGTCGTGTCGACATGCCAGACACCAGACCGCATCTCACGATTTCTAAATAATTATCGATTAACGGTCACTAATCACCACACATTTCTACACGAGAGGCACTCTCGGTACGACACGCAAGAATGACACAATTACACAGAAGACCAACACTTTGAGCCCTGAAGAAGATCTCAATAAAGATCGAAACGTTGGCACGATAAAGAAAATGTTTTTCTAAAACCTACGTCACACCAGACCGCATCTCACGATTTCTAAATAAATATCGATTAACAGTCACTAATCACCACACATAAAAAATATTATAAATTGGCTTAAAATGAAGGAAGCATATTAGAGCAATCTGAAAAGGAAAAGGTACTGGGAAAAATATGTTTTTGGCCCAAGAATCGTATGTACAGATCCCGTGCGATATAACTACAATGGGCTTTCACTTTTATGGTCTCAGTAAGACCGAGCTCGACAAATCCGACTAAACGTACGTGAAAATATACTATCTGATATATTACATTCATCCATCTTGGTCTAAAGACAAGCATGAGTTGACAATCGTGTTTGATAAACTTCCGTAAAACATAACTGGAATGACAAAGAACGAAGAAAGCATATGTATAATA